CAATGTGCTATAAGTAGATTGCATAGCTAGGGGCAAACCTTGTCCCTTGGCATTCCCACATTTAATTTTTTTTTTTTTTTTAATCAGTGAATTTCCCTGTAATGTGACGTTGATTCTGTTTTTTGTTTTTAAATTGTTATAACTTTACATCCCTTATAACTTTTAAGGCTGCAGAATGTCTAGATAGAACATATTCTTTATCCCAGTTATATGGTTTAGAAGTTTAGACTGTATAATAACTATCTATATGATCTTTTTGTTTTTGTAAAATGGTATTGGCAAATGCAGATATGTTTGACAAGAGAGCCTTGGTTATTCTTGTGAAATTAACAAATATAAACTGGTGTAAGGGGACTGTGAACATTTTTAAAACATTAAGATATTTATATTCCTGATTTGATAAACTATGTACTATTTTTCCTATATCAAGATATTTAGACACATTTGTAGCATGGATGCACTTTCCGATGTACAGATCAAGCCACTAACCAACACTACTAGGAGAAACCTTCTCTGAAAGCTGGTACATACTGGGAGGAAAACACTTCACCTGCAAACCATTCAGTAGTCTTCCTTTATTTCTCACACCTCAGCAATAGAAGACCTTCCAATATGGGCCCCGGTTTAATCTTTTTGGGTAAGCTTTTCAAATAATTAATTTTTTTGGAAACACTTTTTTGTTTTGTTTAATTCTTTATTTTTGTTGTGCATTGAAATACAGACTGGCTTGCCAAACCACAACAGCCATAGCAAGCATTTCAGAGGACAAAGTCTGACAATTGAGTGGAATTAAAGCCACACTGTGTAAACACTTTTAAAGTGATTTAATATATTGAAAAAATGGAGAATGGAAGATAACAAAACACAGAAACTATTGAGCACAGTAGCAAATGATGTGGACTCTTATTGTGACAAGTGGTAAAGCTGGCGCTTGTTACTAGTAGAGACATCATTATCTGATGTAATTGAATAAGAACAAGAAAAAAATAAAGTGAATAAGAAGAGATGGAAATTGCTACACTGCACTTGAAAGTGATTGAAAGAGGCATTTTATAATTTATCTCCTGCTTAGCTGATTGCCTGGTAAATCCAACACCAGCCTCCTATGTGTTTAAAATGCAAGCAGAGCAGGAAATAAAATTATAAAATAAACACATTGTGCTGTAGAATGTATCCTTTTTTTCATGAAATCTTTGTGAGTAACATCTAAGCGAGGTGTGGCCAGGGCTGCATAAACAAAGCAATTTAACTGATTAATGACTGAGAATGGCTGCAAGGACATGATCTATATATTAAAACTGCTTCATTAATCTAAAGTTGTTTTGGTGCTTAGAGTATCAATTTAGGTTCATGGGCCATTTGAACTTATTGAAATATTTACGTTTATGAAAAGGGGATCAATAAACCATCTCACTTTCATGAAAGGCAAGCAATACGATCCTCTCAGTTTATTCCATTCCTCCATCCCTAGAATAATTGTGACCTATGACGTATATATAAAAACCACCCTACCATCGTTTAGTTACTTTACTGAATGAAAATATTTTACTGCTCAAAAGTATGTTATCTTTTTTTAATATAGAACTAGGAGGAAGTTTAACTTTTGTTTGAAAATTCTCCTCCCTGCAATTACTTGATGAATCAGCAGGTAAAGAAAAATAGAAATGTGTAGGCTGACAGATACAATACAACTTAATCTGACATAAAAATTCACAAGGCTGACATCACTGTGGTTACTGGTCAGGTGTGTCCTGGTGGAGTTTGAAAAATTTCTCTGTAGAAATTCCCCACTCCTTATTTCCTTTTATATATGAAGTAACCTGTTCCTGATAAACTATACAGTTAATGTAATAGTTTTGTTTTAATACTATTAATTGTAAAAGATCAGCAAGTTTCAAAATCAACGTTTGGAATTATATTTTGGAATATATATTTTTACAATGAAACTTTGCTTTAAAGGGTCACTTTAAGTACCCTGACCACTTCAGTGATTTCAAATGGTCACTGTGCTTGAAGTCTGTGCGTGCAGTGTTTCAGTATGAAACGCTGCACATACAGAGTTTAACCCCTCTGTCTTCCAGGTTGGCTAATGTCAATTCTATGTATTTGACAATGAGTTAGCGCACAATCTTTTTTGAAAGCTCTCCAATTGGAAAGTACAGAAAAATAAGAAATTATAATTATAACCTTTTAACCTTATAGATGTAGTTTATACAGAATGTGTGCTCACACAAAAATACTTTTTCATTACATATAAACAACTTCCAGCACAGAGAGTCCCAGAAATGAATCCTAGAAATGAGCAGTCCAAGTCTCAAAAGATACCCACTTTTTTTCTTTTTCCAGCCTCCAAGGGGTTAAGCCATTAAGTAGGGAAATACAAGGCTTAAATGGTGTGATAACACTAGGTAAAGAGCTCCACATAGGGTGCATATGGTGGAGGCTCTTCACCTAATGTTTTCACACCATCACATAGAGTAGATATATTGAGTTTGGGTATAAGGCTGAAAGATAGGCAGTTAAACTCAAGGAACATCCCATAAAATTCTTATATCTGAACACTCTTCTTCTTACCACCGATTGTAAACAAACAACTTTAAAAAGTAGATATAGTGCTGCAAGAACAGGGATCATAAAAAAGCTCATATGAATATTATTTATCACCTGGTGCTGAAAGCTAAGGAATAGTAGTTAACTATTTTTCCAAGTAACAGACAAAATAGATTTTCTTCTATTTTAAATTCTAAATAAAGTATATAAGAAAATCCATGATGAAAAATATATATTTTTAAATATTATATGAAAAGAGAGAAAGTACCACGCTATTTAGATATACTACATCTTAAAACCCTTGTAAGATTTATCCATGTTATCCATGCTACAATATTAGTCTAGAAGCAGAGACTTTGAATATGAATGTGTTGAATGAGTCTAATTTTAATTCTATGGTAGAGAAGGCTTCATCCTGTAACAAAGATATAGATAGAAAAAGAGTAGATGGGGTTGGTATTGTAGTGAATAATAGAGAAGAATATATTTGGAGTCAGCATACAGAGCATTAAAAAGGAATCATACTTAATTTCCTGGCCTTGATTACAGTTTGTTAAATGTTGTGCATATTTGTTTGTATACATTATATATTCCAGTCACAGTAAATTCTAAGCATTGTAATACACTTTAAATTTGCCAAAACTTGTTATTGTATAATCCCTTTTTATTTTATTATCTTTGTTTTTATGGTTTTTTTTGTGTCCACATTTTTCTGTATTTGCAAAAAATCCATAAAATAATTTGAAAAGAAGATAACCAAATACAAACAGCACAATCACATCATATGATATATTTAAATCCACCTTAGTTCAAGGACAATTGCAGAAGGAAATTGGTTGAGAGAGGTAAGGATGGTTGGGAAAAAAAAAAGGTACGAATGTAGAGGAATGAGAAAGGCTGATTTAGACTGCATAACATGGCCAGATGAAATATTGGTCCCAGTGGAACCACATCAGTTATACCTTTACATTTCTGTCTCTCAGAGAGTCTGTCGAGAGCTCCATGGTCCAAATCTCTCACATATGGTAGATCCTGTCCCAAAGACTTATGGGATTCAATGTCGTCAGGTGTAATGGAATCAAAAGCTTTTCCGCTGTGAGTAGAACATGTAGTAGTGTCTGAACATGTTTTTGAAAGAGTGAATAATGAAAAAAGGAGTTCTAGGGCCAGTGTTAAATCAAGGGACTATTTATATACCTACTTGATCATTTTTGTAATTTAGGTCTATAATGAGTTAATTGATTTTTGGGCATGACCATCACAAATGAACCACAGTGCTTGTTCCCTACCTAATTCATCAAAAGTCCTGTAAAAACATGGTACATGTAGGCATGGATCGTATGGCAATGACAACAATTTTCATGACATTTCTTGGTCATTTATATTTATTGAACCAATATGAAGTTTCAAGACTACTTGTTGAACTTCTGCAAAATTCTAGGCGAGCATAAATAAATGGTGTAAAGCCTAGAGAGGGGATTTGGCAGAGAGATGTTAGTGGATTTAGAAAGGATGGCATTGTATGTGTAATAATTTATCACCATCTTCACTTGTGTAGGTGAGTTGGTGTGAGTGGCAACAATTATCTAGACTAGGGATTTCCAAAGGAAGGTATTATAATTTCAAGTGTGTGATTGTTCTACCACCCTTAGCCACAACTTCTCATCAAGCAGTCTTGTCTAATCTACCACTCTCACTAAGAGTTCGGCATAATAATAAACCTTTGGGATAGTCAGGTCAATCATGCAATCTATCTTAAGAGTAGACTGGAAGTGAAGGTTTTTTTTCTTCAAGGTTTATTTAACCAGACACAGTTTACTATGGTCTGTCTAACCTCATAAAATAATGAATGATTGGGATTACTTGGAACAGATCCAACAAGCTTGGAAGTACAATTTTTTTGTGTGTTTATGCAGCCAAATCAAGCGAATTGAGTCTTTGCCTTGCTCAGTTACAAGTAATGGAGAAAAATTAGCTTTACAGAGAAAGTCAAGGTTGTTGGAGATGTTTATTCCTTAATAGGAATACGATGAGTGCTGAACAAATGAAAAGACAGCAATCTCTGTAGAGCTAGAGTGCCTGCTTGGAGATATGTTTAACAATAGGGTTAAAGTTTCAAGACTCTCCTTGAACTCCTCTAGAGAAAGAGGGGATATGAGACAATCCAGTGTGGTCTCAGGATTCCAAATGTTCTAATGTTGGAAGAGATAGTCTGCAAGTATGTGTCAAGAATGTCTCTCTTTGTCTTTTGTGGATCAGGGAAGATTGCATACATCGTCATAATAAGATCGGAATGTTTCAGCTATTCTTTTAACCTTTTCCACAAAGGTTATTTGTTTAGATAGGTGTGTCTGTGCTAAGATTTTACTACATTTAATGTCTTACTGCTAATAGTGGGTCTGGTTCAATGATATCTGGAAATTGGGCACTACTAGGGCATTTAGTTAATGGTTAGTAGAAGGGAGTCAAATCCAGAGCAGAAAGTTTGCATTTTTCAAGAGCTATACAAAAGGCAATAAGGGGTGCTCAGAGATAATTGTTTACCCTCCTTAGAGATAGTTGCTGAGAGGGAAATTCTCCTCTAAAACAAAACATGATCTATCAGATGAGGAAACATTGTTACATTGCTCCATGGTCCAGTTCTGATGCTCACGTCCCCATTGAAGGCGGTCTACAGGGGTCATCATGGGCACCCTGACTGGTCTGCGGCTGTGCAGACCCATACTCAGCAAATTGCTATGCATTGTGTGTTCTATCAATCTGGCTTTTCTAACAGAATTACGTTTTTCTGCAGTTTGAGCTACATTAGCTATTCTGTGTGATTGGACCAGACGGGCTAGCCTTCACAACCAATGTATATCAGTGAGCCTTGGGCACCCTTGAATCTGAGGCTGGGTCACTGATTGTCCTTCCTTGCACCACTTTTGGTAGGTGCTAACCACTGCATACCAGGAACACCCCACAAGACTTGGCATTTTGGATATGCTCTGACCCAGTCGCCTAGACATCACCATTTAGTCCTTTTCAAAGTCACTCAGATCTTTTCGCTTAACCAATTTTGCTGCTTCCAACACATGACTTTCAAGAGCTGACTGTTCACTTGTTGCCTAATATATCCCAGCCCTTGTCAGGTGCCATAGTAATGATATAATCAATGTTATTCTCTTCACCTGTCAGTGGTTTTGGTGTTGCATTAATCAAAGGGCTTCTGTCCCCCCAAAAAATGACACACGTAATGGTGAGTCTGCAGTATAGCAATCACATGCAAGTAAGGAAAAATAAGCCTAAGTAAAAAAAAATTGTGGTCCAGCAAACAGTAAAGAAACTATACTGTTTAGAAAATCTTGATGAAAGTAAAATGCTATTTATTATTCACACCTAACATTCTGTTATTGTTTAAATGGGTGCACATAATAAGTAAACTGACCAAATAGTTTAATTATTTATATAATATTTTTTAAATGCTTATTTTTCAGTGTCAGTGCTACTTTAAGAGGAACAGAATATAACAATGGAGAATCATGCAACAAGCATGAAAAAGAGCTGGTATTTCTTTTTTTTGCTGTAAATGTAAACTTTTGTAGTGTCCACTTCTAATTCTTCAAATCTATTTTTATTGTGTCCCCTGCTTAGTGTAAATAAGGGGAGCCCTGTCTGGGCACAAAAATGGAAAATGAAAATGTCTCTTTGGTTTCCAGAGTATCATAATAACAAATAAGCAAAAAGAATACAATTTAAACAAGTACTTTTGTCTAAGAATATAATTATTGAAATAAAAGCTAAATATATATTTTTACCATTAACATTTCAAAAGTCAGCATATTTAAAACAAAATGTTGAATGAGAAATTAAAAAAACAAAAAACCATACTTCAAGAGCATTGAATTTCACTGGAATAATTACATTTGCTATGGTACTATATATGCATACCACACATTCTGGATTGTGTTAGCCACAGGGTAGGTTAAAGAGTTTTGTGTGTTCTGGGTTGTAATATGCTCCCTTATTATTAAAAAACATAAGAATGAGTGTTGTAAAATGGTTTGGTTTGGTTCTTTAAATAACATTAATTATTACACATGAGAATAGAATTCTTGGAGCATTTTAATGTTACTGATAGCTATAAAAATGACATGTCACTAGAGAACTAGAATGCAATTTAATACAAATAGTATTAAACATTAATCATCATGGGGCAGATTTGCCAAGTTATATTAATGTGGAGAACGAACATGCCAATATGGGAAACCTTCCAATTTCTATTTACTCTATCTGGTCTGTATACTAATATGAGCAAAATCTTTGATCGAGCCTGAGTACTTCCACGTTTGATCCGATCTGGGGTTTGGTGGACTTTGTGAATTGTGTTGTTTATCCCAATTGAATGATTAAACTGTCCTATAATAATATTTCTGGCTGAGTAATATATTTAACATGTTAGATTTTTAGTCTTTGGTTGAGTTTGTCTTGACATATCACAAATAAACACATTGCTTTGAATTCTAGAACAAATTTTCCTCTCTGTAAAGGGACTACATGTTTCTGATCTGTGTGTTGAGTTTAGAAACATGCTAGTTGAAGTATTTTAGATTGCATATGTGCTTAACGTCTTAATGCATACTTTCTAAAGCAGTTATTTGGTTAAGTGTCAAGAACAGCAGGTGCAGGTATCATCTTCTTTTTGGTTTGTTCTAGCTTCTTCAGTCGATGCTACCTTGGTCCACCAAAGCAGTCATGTAGAGATATCAATGTAAATATTGATAGACTTGTGACGTGTGAGAGGAGAGAACAATAAGAATGGCAGTAACATATGAACAGTATGGTGTCTGGAAAGACCAAATATGAGAGAATTAAAGTAATCCACTAAAGAAATTCCATTATTGCATTAATTAGCTCCTTAGCAACATATTGCATTAGAACGGGGTGGACATGGGCAATGTTTTAAGGTGGCATAGACATGGATGTGGGAACAGACTGTATATAAAGCATAAAGTTTAAGGCTGAATCAAAGCGAACCTTAAGGCAAAGTTCTGTCAACTGGCAGGGAGAGGGACAGAGGATTATTGTTATAAGTAGGGATGACAAAAAGCTTAGTTGTAGACAGATTATTACATTAAGCTAGACTACACTGTTATACCATCGACTCTTTTTTTTAGACACCAGGAGAGAGATTGGGGTAGTAGAGAATCATCTGGAAGTCATCAGCATCCAGGTGGTCACTGAATCCAAAAGTATTAATAAGTTTGCTAAGAGAGGTAGTGTAGAGAGAAAGCTTAGTCAGAGCATTTTCAGTAAAATGCAGAAGGTAGACTAAAGAGGGTTGAGACAAGCAGTTCCAGAAGCTTTTAAAAGAAAGGGAGCAGAGATATGGAACACTTGGGAAAGGCGGTTGAAGAGACAGCTTTTTTAGGAGTGGAAAAAAAGTAGCATATTTGAGGTTTTTTAATCCCATTGATAAAGTCTGTTGACGAAACGCGTTATGTATATTTAACTTTTTTATCTGATGTAATAAAGGATTTTGGTTTTACAACACTTTTTATTGTACCAGTGCCTTTACTCATATATTCTCAGTGGCTTTTATTTTATTTTACTTTCATTTTCTTATTTTTTTATCTACATCCATAGGTGGGGATTATACCACCAACGCTGGCACCACAGAGCAGTGAGCCTGCTCTATGTCTGTAAGTAGAACCTTTATATTCACATAATTACAGTGTCTTACTGAGAGCACTATCTGAGGCCTTTTTTATTTTTTTGTCTTTGAGCATCCAGACAACCACCAGCCAAGAACCATCACCACCATATCCTGAATAGTGGGGATCATAGGCGATTCATCCTAGAGCTGGCAGTAGCTCTCTTAAATGTGAGTGTAATACTATTATTTATAAACAGGCCTCTCTAGCCCTGGCTTACTGCACTATTAGGTCTTTCTTGTGTTTCTTCTCACCCACATACAGAGACCCAAGATTGCAAGACCCTCTAAGTACAAAGAACTGCAGTTGAATCTACCTCCGGAATAAGAGACTATCCAAACTGTGACTATTTTCACATCTGGAATAAGACTCATAGTATTTACTTTTATTATTTTTATTTTTTTATCTACCTTTTTATTGTATTTTATTTCATTGTATTGTATGTGGCGCAGCCCTTATCTGTTTTTTACTTTTGTACTTGCTTAAAGGGTTGAGAGGGATCCCCTTTTACAGGGTTGCTGCCTTATTGTCCACCCTTCATTGTTATCTAGCGCTGACCCATTTGTGTATTTCTATTTGAGGGGAGTAGAGACAAAGCCATAGGAAAGAGAGCAATTTAAGATATGCGTTAAGGGAGGCACAAGGCAACTGGATTAATGGGATTAAGGGGACAAGTGGTGTGACAAGAGGAAAGGAGGAGAGCATACACCTCCTGTTCAGTAGCCAGGGAGAAAGCCTGAAGTGTAGGAGAGGAACAGTCAAAATGAGGTTAAGAGAGTGGAGTGAAGGGGGGTGAATTATATCTTTAACTAATTAATCTTGTCTGTAAACTAGCATGCAAAGTTATCAACTGTAAGGCTATAATGAAAATGTTCCATGAACTTGTAGCCGAGGTAGTCTGACAAGATGCGAGACTTTGTCCAGCAGCGAGGGTTCTTAGAGCAGTTGTATTTTTGTTATAAATAATTATTTTTTGGTTTCTTTGCATGTTTTAATATGGTTACTTTCTGCTTGATTTGAAGAATCATTGATTAAAAACTCCTGGAACTCCAGGACATGATAATAAATCTGTTTAGCAAGAATATATTTTATTTATCTGGAACTCAATGACAATCAAGCAAGTGGAAAGTAAAGAACACAATGGAGCATATTTTGCGATATAAAATAAATTGCTCTGATGAAAAAAAATATATATATATTTATTTATTTATTTTTTATGCATTTTTTATTGAGAGTGTCAGACAAATTGAAATACAATATGTACATTGGATATCAGTGAGTATTTTCTTATATAATTGAGATAACCAATTATGAACAGCAGGCTATGTAAACTGATGTTATAGTTTCCGAACAAAACAAAACCTAAACTTAATAAATGCCAGTTGATAAAGCCCTGTGTGGCGAAACGCGTTTTGGCTATTTTATAAATTTTATATTGTACTAATAAAGGAATAGTGGCTTTTTATTACAATTTTGCCATATAACCCTTTTTTTATTTCATTTTTAATAATTTTGTCATTACCTGGTCATATACTATTTTGGAGCCTACACAAGACCAAGAATCCTAGGTGGGGATTATACCACCTATGCGGTTATATTGAGCAGTGTACCCTGCTCATCCAAATGTGAGTATTTTTATTCCTTACTTTTGATTTAATTTACTCATATCCAGTGAGCACTATATTTTGCTTTTATCTCCTTTTCAAAACCGAGGGATCATCTTCACCTATACCCTACCAGTGGGGGACTAACGCCACTGAATGCCAAATACACTAGAGCAAGTCTATGCTCTAATATAGGTGAGTGTATTACCTATTTATTATTTCTCCCATCAACAAACAGTCTACACTATTGGATCGTCTTTGTTGTCTTTCTTTTTTCTATGTCTACCATCGAGCCAAGACTCCTCTAAAGATTAGAAGATCTACTTTCCCTATTGGACATACTACTACCATACACTTACTGGAACTTGTAAGAGAAATATACTAAATACTACAACCACCACTTTATCCATTTAAACTTACAATACCTACAATTTGGACTATTATTTTTTATATATTTCTCTTTTTCATATATTTATGTGTTAAACTGTTTTTATATATTTATTTCCGTCTATTTGTGTGTTTTTTTTTTTGTAGCGCAACCTATCATTCTTGTTTTTGCCATTTCTCCCTTGAGGACTCTAGAGGGAACCTCATATTTATAGGTTGCTGCTTCTTGTCTGTTCATATCACTCAGCGCTGATCCGTTTTCTACCTGTAAACTTAATAAATGCCTGCCAGTACCAAGTCCCCCCATCATGCCTACACCGCCCGATTAAGAAAACCTAAATGTTAATGTTTAAAACAGCAGTCTGAACCATTTTACATTTCAGTCAAATGTATGACTTTAATTAAGACCATCTATAAAACCATACACCATCATAAACGTACATAGAAGCTATAACAGTGATAATGAGGTTGTTGGTATCGTATTGGTGAGTCCAGTGAAATTTGGAGATAATATAGGGAAATCACGATGGCAAAACCCAAAAGTTTATGCAAAGAAGTTGTAAGACAAAGTTGTGAGCTAAGTCTATAACCTATGGTAATGGTGTACTTGTATAGAACACAACTACTAACCATTGTTAAAGGGATCCTGCATCAGCTGGATTGCAAATAGATTCAATTATTGAAACTACTTTGGTCCAGTACCCCAAGTGGGTGACTTTCGGTTAGCTATTAGAAGATGTGAAAAATGCAAAATACAGCCATGCCTGAACTGTTTATAACACCATGGCTGCACTGGACAATGAACCTATTATTGTCAATCTTGGTCTAGGCCAGGGTGCCCAAAAGTTTGATCCCTAGATGTTGTAGAACTACAACTCCCATGATGCATTTAGAATGACAAAGCATCATGAAAGCTGTAGTTTTAAAACATCTGGGGATCACACTTTTGGGCACACCTGTTCTATGTCAATATATAGCCTTTTATGTTTTCAATTTCAAAGCTTGTTCTTTTATTGGCCCATCCACCCAAAAACAGAGGGGATTAAGGTAGGCGTCTTGTGCTTCTAATTTTTACCTTGGGACATTTAGTATTGTTTACTGCAAGAAGTAGGCATGTCAACAAAGTAGAGCTTATCAGTCTCACTGTCCTTAGTCATGTACCAGCCATTTCCAATTAATATAACACTAACATCTGCTGTGTTTTATGTCCTTACAGTCAGGTTATTTACTAATTGGTACATGATGAATAATTCATATATCTGTACATTGATTTTTAACAACACGAGTTTTGATATAGTCTTGGACTGAAACGTCACTTCAAACATGTGTTTATTGAAATCTCTTGTGTTTACCAGATGCATAAAAATCATGTATGAATCATGTATAATAAATGGGATTTAGTTTTAGGAATTATTGGGTTTTATTTTGTTTTTCTTGGTTATTGCTGAGCAGCGAAGTGCAGGCCTTTCTGGCAGCAAACAACCTATACAAATATAATGCAGCAACTGTGTCTGTAGTTTCTTTGTTAAGATGTACATACATATTAGTTGTGGCAAATGATAAACTTGAGAACGGAGAGCCAGAGGTTCTAGTTTGGCATTAAGCACCAAGAATGAGCTGAGCCAAAGCAAACAGTGACTTACAACTGTTTTGTAATGGAAGAAAACTCTGTTAGCTGGCTGCTGAAGTTTCTAAATTATTAAAGGTATACTTACTCACACTAAATTTCTAAATCAGAATTAATCCTAAAAGTCCTCTGCTAATAGCTAGCTGTGTTTTTAAGTGAAATATATGCCATCTGTCTCTAATATCCAAAAGCAGCTCCTAGTTTTGCCTCTGTCCAAGTAGGGTTTTGTGAAATATGCAATACTTTTTTTTTTTAGTAAATATCAGAGAAACTAATCTTTTAAAAATCAAGAATCTAAAAGAGAGGGGAGTTGTCCATCATTTTGAAATTCAAGATTTAAAATATTTTCTAGATTGTTGCCCCTTCTAATGGGTACTACCTTTTTGTTGAAGCCTTTGTAAGAGAAAGAGTGACTGTCATGGTACTAACTTACGAGTCCTCCCAGGAATGTTGACAATTTATTAATATAGGACCATTCAGTGACAACGCAGTCTGATTGTTGTCCATTTGTTGTCTGCTTTGTGCAAATTTTCATTGAAAAATATATGTTTTAATAAGTTTTGATAGTTTTTTTTTATAAATATTTTTCACATATTACATACAGGCATCATAACAAAAAACAATAAACATGTGCAATTGTGTTGCACACTGATATTGAAGAAGGCAAAAATTAAAGAAGATAGGCCCAGTAAGAAAAAGGTCATGTCAGTCATTATATTTCTTCAGAAGAAGACCACATAGTACCTTGGGTGGAGTTTGTTATGTGCTCCGTTGTCCTGGTAACTGACAAAATAGTTATTGCATCTAGTGTTAATTGACGGTTGACACGTCAACATTTATTTTTCAAGCCAATTTAGCATATACGAAAATGTAGGGTATGAATTGAGAACATTTGTTCTGGGTGTTTGGAGGTAAAACCCAATATGAAAATCACAGCTACATACGTTAGAGTTTTTTTTTGTATAGGTAGTGATAAATTGTATAAGTTCAGACTGGAATGGAGAAGGCACCAGATAACAAAGATTGAACCTACCACCCTATAACTTCTCCTGCATTGTGCAGTGTGTATAGTTTTCCTATAAATATTTGCTAATCAGTCAAGATATCTTAACACATATCAAAAAGAAGAGTTTTGTTAGGCTCTACTTCAACAGATGTTCAAGAGCATCCAGCCTCTACTCAATGAGGAAGGGGTTTCCCAGATGCCGTTCTTATTTAAGGTTATAAGATGCCTAATAACATAGCTTGTAGGACTACATCGACTTTTATAGAGAGTGATATTTTTTTCATATCAGTGGTGATATAACCCTGGAATTATTTTGAATATGCTAACAGCATTTATATAATATGTTCCACTTTTTAGGAACTTATAATTATGTATTTGTTTTCACTAGTCCATTCTTTGTTGAAATTTCAACAAATGAGCATGTCAACACCTGGCAAATCTCTGGAAAGGATATCTTTAATAATGGTTTGTATTTACTAATACATGCCAGAGTTTTTAAATCTTACATCTCATTGTTGCTCAAAAATAGGTACGAAAAATGTTGGTGCATGGTGAATACTGGTTTGTAACTGGTTCACTCACATAATTATATACAGTAAGATTAAATGTGGAAAATGTTAAATTTTCCTGTTGAATTTATTAAGTTTGACTTCCAAATCTGGTTTGTGAATGGTTCTTTGAAATGATTCATATGTCTGTTTAGTATATTTAAGATGACTTAACTGCACAGACTACATAGTGTAACCATTAACACAAAGTATAATTTAGTGCTCTATATGGTTTTGGAAATGAAATACAACTGTTATTTCTAACTTGTTAATTTTTAAAGAGCTTGTGATGAGACTTCTCATTTTCTCTTTATGTGCCTTTTTGATATTTTCTTCTAATACACAAGATCTTTGTTAGTAAGAAAATGTGAGATGTGTGTTTAATTAGCCCTCAGGCACCTAGCTGTGGGAGAGATCAATACAAGGTTGGCCAAGATAGACTTTTTGTTAAAAATGGTTAAAATAGCATTGCTTCTCCTTTGGGAATGATATCACTAAAATTAGTTAGAAATGTTAAAAGTATCTGTGATTCCAGAAATGTCTGTAAGATGAATCAAAGTGAAGCTAGTTAATCTGGAAAAGAAAGTTGTACAACTTGACATTTTACTTTTCTCAATGCATTTGATTGGAAAATGTGAACATTTTTCCATATTGCAAACATATTTTTTATGTAAAATAACTTTGATGTCAGCCATTTTTAAATTTTCTCCTGAATTGCTTTATTACTTACCCAGCATTAAATATTTGAAGGACGTGCTTTTCTTGGACATAAACCTATAATAAAAATGTTGTGTATAAATGTTTGTAAGCGTATTATGTATACAATTAGTCCCTCTCTCTCTCTCTCTCTCTCTCTCATAGAATGTGAGAGCAGATAAGAACTATTCGGCCCATCTAGTCTGCCCAATTTTCTAAATACTTTCATTAGTCCCTTACCTTATCTTATAGCTAGGATAGCCTTATGCCTATCCCACGCATGCTTAAACTCTTTCACTGTGTTAACCTCTACCACTTCAGCTGGAAGGCTATTCCATGCATCCACTACCCTCTCAGTAAAGTAATACTTCCTGATATTATTTTAAAACCTTTGCCACTCTAATTTAAGACTATGTTGTGGCAGTTGTTCTTCTTTTAAATATAGTCTCCTCCTTTATTGTGTTGATTTCCTTTATGTATTTAAATTTTTCTATCATATCCCCCTTGTCTCGTCTTTCCTTCAAGTTAAATATCTTAAGATCCTTTAATCTTTCCTTGTAAGCTTTATCCTGCAATCCATGAACCAGCTTAGAACCCCTTCACTGAACTCTCTCTAAAGTATCTTTATCCTTCTGGAGATACGGTCTCCAGTACTGCGTACAATACTCTAAAATGTAAGCTCGATTGAGCAGGGTCCTCTTCAACCTATTGTTCCTGTAAGTTTATTTGTAATTGTCCTATTTATAGTTAAATCCCCTTTCATAATATTGTAAAGTGCTACGGAATCTGTTGGCGCTATATAAATGGCAATAATAATAATAATAATAAGTGAGGTCTCACCAGTGTTCTGTACAATGGCATGAGCACTTCCCTCCTTCTACTGCTAATACCTCTCCCTATACAGCCAAGCATTCTGCTAGCATTTCCTGTTGCTCTATTACATTGTCTGTCTACCTTTAAGTCATCTGAAATAATTACCCCCAAATCCCTTTCCTCAGATGTTGAGGATAGGACTCTATCAAATATTCTGTACTCATGGGTTTTGACGTCCAAGATGCATTCTCTTGCACTTATCCACATTAGATGTCAGCTGCCACAACTCTAGTTTACTTTAATCATTTGCCATTTGGCTTAACCCTCATGGAACATCATCTCTGTTACATATCTTAGTATCATCAGCAAAAAGACATACCTTACCATCAAGACCTTCTGCAATATCACTAATAAAAGATATTAAAGAGAATGGGCCCAAGTACAGATCCCTGAGGTACCCCAATAGTGACAAGACTATGCTTCGAATATATTCCATTGACTACAACCCTCTGTTGCCTGTCACTCAGCCACTGCCTTACCCATTCAACAATATTGGAATCCAACAAAGATTGCAGTTTATTGATAAGCCTTCTATGTGCAACAGTGTCAAAAGTCTTACTGAAATCTAGGTAAGCAATGTCTACTGCACCACCCTGGTCTATTATTTTAGTTAACCAATCAAAAAAATCAATAAGTTGTTATCTTCCTGTCATCCCATATGGCCTTTACATCCCCTAAAAGTAAACTAGACCCCCAGGTGAGGTATATATTCCTCAAAGGGAGGCTGAACAACACTTAATTCTAGTTGTATGCACCCAATACCCGACAGGTCTCCTTCATCAACTTGTGCCTAAGAAAGCGAGAGAAATTTGCTAAAGGAGTGGTGGTGATGGGGGGTGACTGGAATATTGTGATGGACCACTCAACTGACAGTTCAGCGACTGGCAGAGACACACAATTGCACCAACCAATGCTACTTCAGAAGGCTCTCCACGCTAACCAATTAGTGGACTGCTGGAGGATCACACACCCCAGGGCAGGGTTTTCACCTACTATTCACTGGTAGCACAATCAGCTACTCTAGATTGGATATGTTCTTTCTGGGACATAGACACCTACAGATGCTTCGAGATGCCTCAATTGGTCATATCACATGGTCTGACCATGCCCCAATATTCATCATGCTAAAAAGGGTGCAGTATGTGGGAATAAAGTGCAAAAGACAGTGCAGGCTAGCCATTCCAAAACAGGGATTACTCCCAATCCCAAAAACAATACAAATAGATTTATAGTATAGTTAAAAAACATATACCAATGGGGGCGCCACAATCACAAATGTGTGAGTTTAAATACCATTCGTGTAGGCAGGTATAACCATGTAAAGAGATAAAAAGATAAAACATATAGTGAAGTATTTAATAACACAGTAAAAAAATAGATACAAATTAGTACACTCACAAATGTAGTGGCACAAAAAAGACATATATCTTA